TCTAATGGCGATCAAAGTTTCCCGGGAACGGCGCCAAATTTGATATCACTCAAATTACCCTAAGGAGTGAATTACTTTCTCAAATAACAGGTTCATTTGTAGTACTTAAGGATCGAATCCACAAGGAACTTAGGAACACAAAATATATAATCCTTAGTGATTATGCTAGGTTGATTAAGTTTAAAAGTAAATTGCAGTTGTGAGGAATGGTGAGTTGCTCAAGAGAATTGGTTTAGGTTTTAAACAATAAAAGAAAGTAGTTAGATTCAAGGTTGCTATTCAGATAATCAGGATTATAATGCTACAGATGTCTGTATAAGTTGCTTGCAAGATATTAAAGAACTTCAACTCTTAGATAAGTCTATTAGATATCGCTATCTAGACTTGTCCATTGATCTGACTGCCGGCAATATTGACCGATGTTTTGACAGCGGTATCGGACGAGATATGTTGCCATCATTCGATTACTCTATAGGAGTATCGATCGATATAGCTTCAGATCGAATTGAATATGTGTTCCCCAAGATCATACACCGGCTCTCGCTCGTCACTAGAGGACCTCAGCTTATGCTAGATGATTTCAGGATGATGATTAACAAGTTAAATCATTCCATGATCATACTCTAGTTAGCTACTCTAGAGTAAGCATTAGGGTTCATCAGGATAATGAATATCACAACTCAACAATCCGTAGTTGGGACTAATCCCTCATAACTATTTGAACCCCAAACCTAACAAGTAAATCTACTCAGACATGGCTAAGTGATTTATAGCATCAAGGTAATAATAGAAATTCATAAGATTAGAAGATTGAACACTTGGTTCTTTTGAATAACAAATCTCTTTGTATATTCTTCTAAATCTGGAACTCTATAAACTTTGATGAAAATCAGAGTAAGATGAAAAGAATACTTTTATAAATCAAAGAACTATGAGTATTAAGAAGCATAAAAAGAATAAAAGCAATCAAAGGCACTAAAAGCACACTTTGCCAAAACACATAGGCATAACTATAAATATGAGTTCAAATAGGTTAAAAACTCGTTAGGTGCAATCTTGTAATATTGAGAGAACTTGGGCTTCAAGTCGGCTGAGTCAAACTTGTTCTTCACGCTCGATACGGATCGATGGTACAAGGCGTACATCGATCGATGGAGTATCTCAATCCGTCATCTTCTACAGAAGCGTCGTCGATCGATTACACAGGATGTGTATCGATCGATATGTATCTCTGGATATCGACCTTATTGTCTGATCTTCATAGTCATCTCGGGAAAACTCTCCTTTAAGCTCCTTAAGGGCACCTAACTTTACTCCAAAATGCTCTTGAACCTGAAAACATATCTAATAGACTCCAAAACATATATATATATATATATATATAGATATTGTAAAATCATCTTAATATCATGGTTAAAAGTGGGTCAAAACCATGGTAGATCAATATACACACGAGGTAGTTCGTCGGTTGCACTAATACATGAGAACTAATACAACAAACTCATGAGATCCAAAAATATTGGAGGAGCTGGTTGCCCCCCCCCCCCCCCCCCTTACTCAAATCATTGGGTGACCGAACAAAGAGACTGCGCTTGAAATCGTTGAAGATAGAAGATGGAAGTCCCTTAGTTAAGATATATGCAAAATGGGAAGAAGACGGTAAATGCAAGACCCGAACCTGTCCCATGGCTACTTTCTCGCGCACAACGTGAATGCTTCGTTCTTCAGTTTTAAATCGCCATTTAACTTCTCCTCCTCTCACTAAATACATCTATATTTGCATTCAATCAAAGAAAACAACCCCATGAATTACTTTTCGACTTCCCCTCACACCCTATATATACGCCAAGTAATGTCTTCATACAACTCACTAATACTGCTCGAAGTTGTAGTAAAAACTGGAGGGGAACGTAAATCTATGTCCATGGCTAGGTAATACTTATGCTGCAAATATATTACGTTTTATGTCAAAGATATTATTTTCAGAGCCATAACAGACTTTCTTAGTGTCTTAATCCTCTTATGTTATTTGCCCAGATCATGAGCCGGCGAGGAAAGAAAGAGAGCTGCAGAATCTGACGCTAATCCTTGAAAGTCAGGTTTCGTGTCAGTTCTGACTCTGTTGGCCTTTACTCATCGGACAGAGGAACACAAGGTAAAATTTAGTTTCAGGAGCCCTTCATTTGATTGGAATCTATTCTCCAGCTTATTCAGTGTTTTCCAGTTTAGTTCTATCACAGTGCTGCAATTGTAATTAATAACTCAAACAGTAAAATATTTCTCAATCAAAGGACAGATAGGAAGTTTGGAGGCCATCAAAGCAGAGATGCACCAGCTGAAACAACAAGACTGACGAGAGTAGAGGAAGAAGACAATTAAGGTGATCCAAGTTCTGGTGAATAAAACAAAAACTATTACTATGCATCAGCATAATAAAAATATTTTAGAGAAATATCCTTGGATAACTCTTTTTATTTTATTTTCACAAAAATAGCCCTTTAGGAGAAAAATGACCAAAATAAGTTTTTATTAAAGGGTAAATATGCACTTATATCCTTGGGTTAACTAATATAGACTTAGGTTTTATAGTTAAGGGGTGGAGTTTTGAGTTTAGGATTGCAAATTTTAAAAACTCAAAAATAAATATTACAAATTTCAAAATAAAATAGGCTATTTTTGTCATTTTATTTTTTGAAGGCTATTTTTGTGATGAAAACTTTAAAAAAAAATTATTTGAGAGTATTGCGCATACTTTTATCATGATTTGATTTCAAACTAACAAATTCAAATCTAAATTCAAATTTAAGTTAATTAAAATTTGATCAAAAAAATTTAAGTTAATTATGTTTTGTGATAAAATATATTTAAGATAGATACATGTTAATCATTTCAATTGACAAACAGATAAATTTTAGAAAAATTTTTAAAGTCCATATTTGTTAGAAATATAAATTTATATAATCAGAGAACTTGCACACTTGCAAGCATGATTTATACCATCATGCATGCATACGATCTATCTAACCTTCTGTTTTAAGTCAATATCTTATAACTCAATTTTTGTTATATTCTAATTTAGAATATGAATGGTCTCAATTTTGAGTTTATTTATACGAAGCAACTTTTAATTGTTTTTTCTTTGCCTTTCATACTAATATTTTTTGTTGAGTTAGTTTAAAGCTTAGTGTTGATGAAATCTGAAAAATGTGTGGTATAAAATAAGATAACGAACAAGTTTATTCCAAGTTTATTAGAAAAAAAAAATCAAAAATATTGAAAATTATTTAACCAATAAAACATATCAAAATTCACACAAAACATATCAAAATTCAAACAAAACATTCCACCTAATAGTAAAGTGAAAATTTTAAAATACTATATTTATGATTTTAAATTTGAAAATACTAAAAATATTTTTAGCCCGATTTTATTTCAAAGTAATAAATTAAGAATTAAATTAAAATTTAAGTTAATTATGTTTCTAGATAAACATATGTTTAATATAGATATATGATAATCATTTCAAATGGAAATTAGAGAAATTTAATAAAATGTTTTTTCGAAACTAAGGAGAAATTTGATAAAATACTTTAATGTCCATATTCTTAATAAAATATAAATTATTATTAAAAAGAGCTTACACACTTTGCAAGCACAATTCATATCCTCATACATCGCATACGATCTATCTAGCCTTCGATCTAAAGTCAATATCTCATAACTAAATTTTTGTGATACTTTAATTTAGATTAAGAAGAGTCTCGATTCTGAGTTTTTCTTAAGATTTGATTTTATTTTATTAAAATAATATAACCAGAAAAGAATTATAGGAAAAAGACTATTTGAGAAATGGAGAACCTATAGTAAGATATTGTGTATATATTATTAGTGTTGTTTTCAATATAAAAAAATTGTATTTCCGTAAATCGTTAAAAACTATTATTTTATTTATAAATGAATTTTAAACTATTTAAAATATTTCTAATTATATTTTAATGAGAATAATAATATAAATTGATGGAGTTTCGAAAACATTATTTACAAAATTTAAATAGAATATGTTAGAAACAAATACTGAAATTCTATTTCAAATATACAAAATAATATATTATATATTTATATATCTATGCTATTAAAACGAAATTATGATTTATTTCATGTAAAAAGTTTTTATTTGGATCATTCTTTAAAACAGTTATCAAATTTCACATAATTTAATTATAATATCACTCCATATCTTTATCATTTATTTGAATAAAATGTTTTTATTTAAGATATTAAAATTTATCTAGATAGCACTATATATTCCTAAAATCTAAATAAAAAAAACTATATACTAAAGTTTGACCCACACAGTTTTTTTATTTTGTAAATTTAAAACTTTGATAGTATTATAAAAAATTAAATATATGATTTACATTTAATGTTATATAATATATAACTCTATATTTTTGTTGTTTATGTTAATTTATTCATCATTACTAATATATAGTAATTTTTTATATATTTTAGTTTATATTCTTATTGATTATTATCACTTTTTAATATAATTTTGAGTTTGATACGTAAATTATAATCTAAAATATTCAAATATATAATCTTCTTTAGTATAGAGTTTTAGTTTCTGCAATTGGCAGACGATATATTTTAACATATATTTAGATATACTATAGTTAAATATTTGTTAATAATAATTTATATTTTCATGTTGTGTTTAAAAATAATTTTGTAGATTATTTTGAACTCAAAATTTGTGACCAAAAAAAACTGACTATTTATTTGGAACTCACAATTTGTGACCATTAATTAGTACCAATCATAGTCAGTTTTTTTACCTATCTCTACACAACGTTAAAGTCTGATCCTATTTTTCATCTGCTACATCAAATTCTCTTAACCGCGAGACATTCGTTTTCCATTTTCCCAAAATAAAAAAAAATACCCACTCATAAGTCAAATTAAAACAAAATCTACAACATTTAATTTGAACTTCAATAAAAATGACTTCGCATGTTGAAGAAATTGAAGAAGAGGAAATATCAAATATTGAGAAAGGCAAAGGCAAAGATTGCCATCGAGGAATCGAAACAGTCATTTGTTCTTCTCCCAGCATTGTTTGCCTCACTCAAAAGGTAAATACATAAACCAACCAAATTTTATTCTATTTCATAGTAATGATTAAAATTATAATTTTTAACTAATTATTTTATGTTTTTTCAATCCTGATTACAGTTGATAGCAGAGATGATTGGGACGTATTTCTTAATATTCGCTGGATGTGGGGTGGTGGTAGTGAATGTGTTGTACGGTGGAACAGTGACATTTCCTGGGATATGTGTGACTTGGGGTCTTATTGTTATGGTCATGATTTACTCTACAGGTCACATTTCCGGTGCCCATTTTAATCCTGCCGTCACCCTCACTTTTGCTGTGTTCCGGCGGTTTCCCTGGTATCAAGTATCTACTCTCCATCTCTTCTCTGGATGTTTTTTAGGTTTTTTATGTTAATAAAACATAAACACATTACATGTTCAAACAAATGCAAACAATTATAGTTACTAGTAATTATTATATTTGGTATCTGAATTATGAATATGTTTGTATAATGTTTTGGACAGGTACCATTGTATATAGGTGCACAACTTACGGGGTCATTATTAGGGAGTTTGACACTGAAACTAATGTTCCATGTGACACCAGCAGCTTACTTCGGAACAACTCCGTCTGATTCAGCAGCACAAGCCCTCGCAGCTGAGATCATTATCTCATTCCTCCTTATGTTTGTTATCTCCGGCGTTGCCACTGATAATCGTGCGGTTGGTATTTTTTATATCATCATAAACAGTTGGATATTGGTACTAATCATTGTATATTTTCTTAATAGCCTATTATCAGTATTACTTTATAGCAATTTGCTCTACAATTAAGAAGAATGGAGAAGAAAGTTACTAAGTGTATTAATTTAATTACAATACTTGTGGGGCCGTTTCTCAAAATCTTGTGGTTTGTAAAATTTTATGGATGATATCATTAATCTCTAGTTCGTATAAACTATTTAAAGTAGTCATTTCATTTGTTTTTTTTTTTTAAGCACAAGTTGTGTCATTTGATATAACTAGTGCATATTTTAATATATATTGCCATAGATACAAATCATAAGGAAAATAATATGCAAATATACACTCTTATGTTGTTGGATTGTTCTTAAATTTCGTTTATAGGTCGGAGAATTAGCTGGAATTGCGGTGGGGATGACTATAATGTTGAACGTCTTCGTGGCTGGGTAAACATTTTCTCTTTCTTTTTCACTTGACAAGCAAGAAGAATCATATATGACTAGAAATCATAATTTAGGTTTTTATTATTGCTATTCTTAATATGCCAAAATGTTAGACCGGTTTCAGGAGCATCGATGAATCCCGCAAGAAGTCTAGGACCAGCGATAGTGATGGGAGTGTATGATGGACTTTGGATTTACATTGTTGGTCCTCTTCTCGGAATTATGGCCGGAGGTTTTGTTTATAACCTTATAAGATTTACGGATAAGCCACTTAAAGAGCTTACTAGGAACGGTTCTTTTCTTCGTTCTGTTTCTCCAAAACACAAAGCTTCTACTTCTAAAAGCTAATCTTTTGTACTCTCTTGGTCATATCTTATTTGTCAAACTTTTCCACATGGATAGTTGTATACATACTTTATTCTTTTATATATATGTTGAATTTTGTAGCATCCAATCTAAGAAAAAAGAACTCCTCTCTAATTAAATTTATAAGAATTACGACCGTAGTTCTAAAAAAGGAATTAAATCATAAACCCTGAACCTTTTATGAAACATGTATTTGACTAGGAACTCTGTTCCATATGAAATTTTTCTTGGCTTCAATTGGTGACCATAATTTATGAATAAAATCATGATGAAATTGTTTTCCCTCCAAAATAGGTACTAGTTAAAGTTGAATTTTCTGTCAAATTGTTAACACATGGGTCTCACTATATTCATTTGTTTTCCCCAGATACGTGGGAACTCTTGAACAAATAATTCATCCTCCAATATTGATGAGGAATAAGTGGAAACAATAGTTAAAGTTTTGAAAATTAAAAAATAAAGTAAAAAAATAAAAATAATTCAAAAAATGGCGCAAGAAACTGATAAAGTATCAACTCATCGTCATCCAAGATCAATTTAACCTCACCATGCACCCAAAATAAGAAAATAATAAAGTTTAAACTTATCTTCTTTAATCTCATGATTATCCCACTAACTCAGTAAATAAATAAGTATTCTTGCTACGTAGAAAATCTTATTTACGAAAGCGGAAGCAGAGTTTGAGCAACATCAAAGGCATATTATAGAGCTATAAAGTAGATTATGATTAAACTGTTATAATTTTCTTTTTGATTTGAATGTTTGCCTACTATACTTTTAGGATCATGACAAGGTCTCGAGGAAATAATGGATCACGCTTAAGAGACGATGATGTCGAAGCAGATGGTGAAAGCGATCCAGAAGGATCAGTAAGTTAATTCAAGTACTTTTTAAACAAGTCAATATGATGAAAACAAAATTTTGATTCTTAAGAACATGTTTTTTAGTATGTTTGGAAGGATAGGAAATTTCAAATTCTGCTTGAACTCATTATTGGGGAGTTAAAAGCAAATGGTTACTCTAGTAGAATGCCTAATGTTGCTGGTAAAAAAAGAGTTGAAAACAAATTGCTTGAGTTGACTGGAGACAAGAACGTCTTTTGGGATATTGAGATAAAGAACAAGATGGCTTACTTGCGTAAACTTTGGCAAACAAATAATCAGTTGATGAACTGTACTGGTGTTGTGGTTGATCCGTCTAGTGGACAGATAGTGATGCCTTCGTCTTGGTGGACAGATCGGATTGTGGTGATTACTTTTGCTTTATCATATAAAGATATATTTATATCATAAACAAAATGTATACTAATGTTTTGTTTAATATACATGAGTATGGAAAATCTGGAAAGTTCGTTAGTGTTTTGAAAAAGAAGCCGTTGCCATTCAAAGATTTATTGGATCAAATATATGGTGAACATGATGTTGAGCAAGATGAACGTTATTCTCCTTTTACATATTCAGCACACCTGAAAGAGACACATTCCCAAACACAAGAAGGCAATCGAGAAGGTACACAACAAGTTTTAGATGTGAGAAACTTGTCTGCATCTAATGATGAAGTACCCAAACAAGCAAAACGGAGAACATCTAGCAGCTGTCCTCCAAGAAGAAAAGCTAACTTTGAAGCGCAAATCGAGAGTGTATTTTGACGTGTGATAGATAGCCGTAAGGATTTGTTAGAAGAATTACGCTCACGCAAAATTCAAAAACTATCATATGGTGATGCAACAGCTATCTTGGAAAAATTGCAGATTGAACAACTTGGAACATTCTGGTGGGCAGCAAACAAGTTACTGAAGAATGATGGTGACATTCGTGAAGATTTTATTAAGTTTGAAAGTGAAGAAATCAAGATTAAGTATCTGGAGGCGTTGACTGGAGTAGACAGATTTGGAAATCAATGCAACAACGTGGATTTGGCACTCACAAGCAACACTATGGAAAATAGTCAACAAATAGGTTTTGGTTACTCCCAAAATTTTGATGATAGTCCAACAAGATTTACAGCTAGAGGGAAAAATTTTACGACTCTGCTTGGCATGGACCCTTCTAAATTAAGGGAACCATGATTAGGCAGAAATTAAAGTATAAAATTTCTATGTTGGTTTTTAGCTTTTTTAATCGTTTGGTGTTCAAGTTTATTTTGGTGGCATTCTTCCTCGTCTAATATACTTGATTTTATAGCTTTAAAGGCTTATTATTATTTTGTGGTGTCAGATTAAAAACATAGATTTTATATACTCCTCTCCCAGGCAGTTCAGTCTTTCCATTTTGCCCGGATTCGAGTTTATCGGGAATCTTCCACTTATCTCGATCCTTCCTTCTTTCCGCGGAAATCTTCTATTTATCTTCAAACTTGCCATTTATCTTCAAACTTGACATTTATCTTTCTTCTGCGAGTAAGCCATAAAAACGTTATCGTATCTTTGGGTTACATTTTGTTAAGATTGCGAGACGGACTTTTATCGCGTTTTAAGACCTTTCGGGTCGTTTTACGATAAATCTGTTTTATGACTTTATACGAGATCGTTTCCTGATCCGATGTCGTTTTTAGTAAATTTCCCAAGTTAATCGTAAAGTTTAGCTACGTTCGTTTCTCGGTTAATCGTTGCCGTTCTTTTACGATTTTCTCGACGTTTTTATTAAAAACGCGTTTTTATGATTTTAACGAAAAATCTCGGATAAATCGTATAGTTCAGGCAATGTTCGGTGTCTCGTCTAACCGTTGCCGTTTTATACGATTTTCTCGAGTTCTTTTCGAGAAAACAAAGTTTTACGGTTTTTATCGTAAAACTCGAATGATAAGTCGGATCGAGACGAAACGGGAGACATTTTGACCGTGGTTCGGAACACGACCGTATCGAAGGACGTAAGCACTGAATCGAGATTATGGGAGATCAGGGCTCGGGATGGTCGGTTCGACGTACGGCGAACTGAGTTGGACCGATCCAGCTCGCCGGTCGGCGAACTGTCCGGGACGCTCCTAGTTCGCCCAACGGCGAACTAAGCCGGTCATGGCTTAGTTCACCGTTGGGCGAACTAGTTGGGACGAGGCTAGTTGGCCCAACGGCGAACTAAGCCGGCCATGGCTTAGTTCGCCGTTGGGCGAACTAGCCGGGACGAGGCTAGTTTGCGTTTTACGGCGGTTTCGGTTTTTCCCAGTTTTGTAAAACGATTCTTCGAGTTTTATAAAACGATTCTTCGAGTTTTATAAAACGATTCTCGAGTTTTATAAAACGATTCTCGAGTTTTATAAAATGATTCTCGAGTTTTATAAAACGATCCTTCGAGTTTTATAAAACAATTCTCGAGTTTTATAAAATGATTCTCAAGTTTTATTAAAACGATTCTTCGAGTTTTATAAAACGATTCTTCGAGTTTTATTAAACGATTCTCGAGTTTTATAAAACGATCCTCGAGTTTTATAAAATAATTCTTGCGGAAAGCAATGATTCCATCTTTTACAGAAGTTATCATAGACGTTGATTTCGAGATTACGGTTTTTGACACCAACAGTTAGCCCCCCAGCTCGCAAATTCCGGAGAAAGTTTTTGCGGGCAAATGGAGTTGCTTTAATCGGAATCTACGGCTGCGATTTGTCTTATTACGAGGGACAGGCTCTTCTTTTCTATAAGTATTGAATCATTACCTCTCATATCTTCCATCTCTCAAGTTTCTCTCCAACTTCTCTCTAGAAAATTTCAAGATGTCTTCTTCCCAAGGTGATCAACAAAACTGTGAGGTCCCATCTGGTGACAACCCTATGGCACATCCGCAGGATGCTCGGATTTCCGAGTTTCTCTTGTTTCAAGACGAGATGGACCGCAGCGATGCTGAGGAGGATGCCGTGTCGAGTGGCGTACCCCCGGTAGATCCATCTGTGCTTTCGACAGAGGTCAAGGCTATTTTGGATGAATCAATGGATACGATAGTGGACTCCTCGACGGGCGTTGCTATTGAACCGTCGGGTGTGTTTGCTGTTCTGCCCCTTGTTGCAGCCAAAAATGTTGCTACTTCTGCTGAGGTTGGAACGGTCGTAGCTCCCACCATGGTAGAATCGGTCGTGGCTCTTACCGCGGTTAAACCGGTTGCGGCTCTCACCGTCGTCGAATCGGTTACGACTCCTGTCGCAATCAAACCGGTTGCAGCTCCTACTGCGGTTGACCCGGTTACGATTCTGAGGCCTCCTCCTCCGACCAAGAGGGTGATTGTTCTGGGACTTCCGGCGCTTAGCGCGACGCTGCCTGCTTCAGCCAAAGGCCGTAAGAGAACTTGTCCAAACCCCGATGCTCCCAAGAGAAAGAGAGGCGTAAAGGGTCCCGAGACCGGAGCTTCGTCTAGCAAGGCGCCAAGCTCGGTTTCAATGTCGCAACAGCGTACCAAAGTACAAGTTCGCAATCATATGTTTAGAAGAATATATTCGTATCTGACCGTCTATCTTGGTTTTTCTAGTTTGTTTCGTTGATCGATGGGATGATCAAAGAGTGTGGGTCCGAAGTTGAGCGTTTAGCCAAGGAGTTGGCTGAGTCGCAAGAGAGGTCTGCTCAGCTCGAGGGGAAACTGAAGGTGTCAGAGGACGTGCATTCCGCGGAGGTGTCTCGGTTTGAGGCTAGGATTAGCGATCTGGAGCGCGATCTCGGAAAGACCGCGATCTCTCTGATCAAGGCAAAGGATGCAAAGAAGTCCAAGGCTTTGGAGCTGCGCAGACTTCAGCGCAAGATGAAGAGTTTTGAGGAATCGAATGTCCGCGTGACTGAAGGATTTATTCATGTCGAGGGAAGTGATTCCGTTCCAGCTCTTGCTGCCGAAAATGTGCCTCACCCTGATGCGGACGAGAATGACGACCCGGAGGTTGCTGTCGCAGGTGAAGGTAATGCGATGGATGAGGATGAGGCTCCATGTGCGGAGGATGTTTGAAGATGTAGTCTCGTACATGACTTTTAAAAATTAGATCTTTATGCGCTTGGCCGACTATGGCTTTTGTACTTGTTCGGGACTGGCCTTTTACGGCTTTGAATCCATTGTTGCTTCGGCAACTTTTGTTTTCGTAATGAACAATCAGTTTTTCGTTTAAACTTGTTGCTTCGATTTTGTATTGAGGGAGGTCCACGAGTTGTCGTCTCGCATTACTTTCCCTTAGGGTATCGCCTTATTCGTTTGCTCGTTTTAGGATGTTTAGCAAATCGAGTGAACGTTTAATTATAGACGAAGAGACATGCCTTTAGGATCTTGATTCATGCCTGGAGACGTTAGCGACCAGTGTGCTGGGTTTAGGGCAAGACCTAGGTTTACCTTTGTACTGAGGCTGTGCGATGACTAGTCGGCTTTCGTTTTGCCGGTTGGGATTTTAACCTGATTCCATACCGATTCAGAATCCGCGATATGTTCTCGGCTTATACGATTCGTCTGGTTGGAACCGAGCATCTCACCGAGAACAAGTTCTAATTTTCCTGGCAGTGCTGACCAAAAGTTTGAATTTCTTTTATAGCGCTATTACCCTTGTGTCGGGTGTTCGAGAGCTATCTCTGCGAGATAACTTAAGTTTGTTTAGGACTGTTGCGAGTTTGTTGTGATCAGAAACAAACTATTTTTAAGTAATAGATGTTTACGTAGTTCAGACCTTCGCGAAGGGATTGTATATTAAGAGTTGTGTGTGTTTTATAGTCGCGGGTGGACTGTTTGTTATTGTTGGAGAGGAACGGTTTTCCGAACATCGGCGACGTCTCGCTATATTCAGAATGTCGTTTTTTCTTTTGATACGTTGGTTGAAGAAAAAGTTCGAGAAATTTTGAGTTTTGAAATTTCGGGAGTATACGAGAATACGTATACTCACCTACTCCCCCCCCTTTTAAACGAGGGGGGGTCGGCTGGTCTTGCTTTGCGACAAGATGCCTACGTACCCTTTAAGGGGATCAAGCCGTCTCGTAGTTCAGTGTTTTGCGGGCGCGTCGCCTAGTGATAGTACTTTTTGAGATGCATCACGTTCCAGGATCTAGGAATTTTGATGTCCTGCATGTTTGCGATTTCGTATGCTCCAGGCCGGACTACCTTTATGACCTTCTACGGTCCTTCCCAGTTTGCTCCCAATTTACTGGCATTTCGTTCTGCGGTGTTTTGGAAGACTTTTCGTAAGACTAGTTCGCCTTCGTGAAATCTGCGGCCGCGTACGTTTGCGTTGTAGTACTTTGCGGCCGCTTGCTGATAGTTTTAAATTCGAACGAGCGCCTGATCCCGTCGTTTGTTAATCAGATCGAGTTCGTCGAGAAGCATTAAGTTGTTCGACTCTTCTCTTTCTGGGAGCAGCCTTCTGCGTACTTCTGGAAATTAGACTTCCGCGGGAATCATGCATTCCGTTCCGTATACGAGGGCAAAAGGAGTTTCGCCCGTTGCTCGCCTCGGGGTTGTGCGGTGCGACCATTAAACTCCTTCGAGCTCTTCGGCCCACTTTCCCTTTTTGGCGTCGAGGCGTTTCTTAAGACCGTCGAGGATAATTCTATTAATGGTCTCGGCTTGTCCGTTGCCTTGAGGATATCTTGGAGTCGATTTGGTCAATCGTATCTTCCATTTTTCGCAAAAAGCTTAGAATCTAGTCGAGATAAATTGAGATCCATTATCTGTTACGATTTCGTATGGTACTCCATGTCTACAGACTATGTTTCTCCATACGAAGCTTTCTACTTGGGCGTCTTCGATGCTTGCGTAAGAGTCGGCTTCGACCCATTTAGAGAAGAAGTCGGTCAGAACCAGAAGGAAGCGTTTTTGTTTTGACGCATGCATTGGCCTGACTATATCCATCGACCATCGCATGAACGGATACGGTGCCGAGATAGATGAAAGAACTTCGGCAGGTTGGTGAATAGTTGGAGCGTGTCGCTGGCACTTTTCGCATTTTTGCGAAAAATCTTCGCAATCTTTTATCATCATTGGCCAGAAATATCTGTGGCGCTTGATTTTTATTGCGAGAGATCTTCCGCCGGAATGGTTTCCGCAAGATCCCGAGTGCACTTCCTGCATTACCCGCTGTGCTTTCTTCCCTTGCACGCAAGTCATCAGCGGTCCGGAGAATCTC